GTTATTTGGGTCCCCCGTCCGGTAAAAAAAAAAGAAAATACCAGACATGTATTTCCTATTTCCCTTGGACGGAAACTCAGCAAGGACAATTTTCCCCTGCCGCGTCTGGCGGGGGTGGGAGAGTGAGGAGTGCAGGGCCATTTAAAGGCACAGCACTTTTTTTTTCTCAGCAACTTTGATCTCCCCCTTTTTTTTTCCTCAACGGATTTTTTCCCCAGTGGTTTTTTTTGGGGAAGGGGGAAGTGGTGTTCGGTATTTTTTGTTAAACCATCTGGCAACTCTAGCTGAGATCAATTAAGCCAAATCACTTGAAGCCAGATGATGCACCATAACTCACAATTCCAGCACTTATGTGTATCAAATTGACAACCGTTGGTGGAATAACAACACTAAACTGGTTGGCTACGTCTACACTGGCCCCTTTTCCGGAAGGGGCATGTAAATTTCATGAGTCGTCGTAGGGAAATCCGCGGGGGATTTAAATATCCCCCGCGGCATTTAAATAAAAATGTCCGCCGCTTTTTTCCGGCTTTTAAAAAAGCCGGAAAAGAGCGTCTACACTGGCCCCGATCCTCCAGAAAAAGCGCCCTTTTCCGGAGGCTCTTATTCCTACTTCATTTCACGAGGAGTAACGATAGTTCGAACTAGGAAGCCTAGTTCGAACTACCTAGTTCGTGCCCCGTGTAGCCACGCGGCATGGGGTTCGAACGAGCGGGGATTTAAAAATGGCGGCGCCCCGCTTATGCAAATGAAGCCCGGGAAATTCAAATCCCGGGCTTCATTTGCAATTGCGGTATGCCTACATTACCCTCCTATTTCGAATTAGGAGGGTAGTGTAGACATACCCTGTCAGAGATACTGAGATTTTAAATGAAAATAAGGATTGTGAAATGTAAATAAACATGATCAGTTTTTTAACAGAAAGATATGAGTACAGTTATTATAAAATGTGAATATAGATGAAGCGAAACTCTTTTTGAAGGAGACATAATGACATCATCAGAAAGATGTCACCAGACTATTTTCTTCAGCACTCATTTTACCCGTTAAAACATAGAACAATTAGCTTTATATTTTGACTGTATGGGATAAAGCAACACCTCTCAGAGCAACACCTACTTTAAAAGATCATTCCTATAAACGCTCTTTCATAAATGGCTATTACCTCTTTTGCTAACTGCATACTGTAAATATGTAGAATCATTAGGATATAATCCTTAAAAGGCACAGTAGAGCTGGTCAAAAGCTGAAAATGTATTTTGACAAGAAAAACTTGAAATTTCAAAGTTGCTTGTGGCTTCAAAGTTTTCAAAACAGACCCCATATTTTGTTTTTTAATTTTTTCATGGTCTTCCCAATTATTTTAAAAATTAAAAATGAGAAAAGCTTTACCCTGTGACGTCATTCTCTGGATTTTCTTGAACATGTCAGTCAGATATTTGTTTTTAAATAATAATGTCCTTTAGGCATGGCCAATATGTTTGTGACAGGACAGGACCAAGCATACTCGACACTTACAATACCCCAATGGAAAAAGAAAGTGCTCCAGAGCACATCAACCTCATAGAGCTGGTTGTGAACATTGTCTAGCTAGTTATTCCAAAACAAATGCAGCAGAGCCAGAACTTACAATCTCTGCCAAAAAATCAAGGCTAGGCCAGCCAAGACAAAGAAGACTTAAATAGCTTACCCTAAAGTCAGTCAGATAAGCACAGCAGTGGGGTCAGGACCACCCCAACATCAAAGCGTGAATGGACCTATTACAAGCTCTCTCTGACGAAGAGTATAAAGCTCTTATACAATTCTACTTACCTTTTACTATACAGTCCACCGTTACAAGTTTAAAAATGTTGGTTCTGATCTGTCCCTTAGCTCATTTGCATGGGCTACATCTTAGCCTCCAGAGTCATCATTCTACTAACATTTATCACATAGACGGAATGCTCTATGACACACAAGTCTTCCTCCCCACCTGGTCAGGATCCCGATACAGTAATTCCTCATCTAACACTGTAGGTGTGTTTCAGAAAATGATCGTGTTAAGTAAAAAAGTGTTATGCGGGGTCAATTTTCCCATTGAAAATAATGGAAAAGGTGGAGGTTGCATTTCAAGCGGTGGTGTCTGTTGGGACCGGGACATAAGGTTGGGGGAGAAAGGGGACTGGATTACAGCAGGGAGGGAAGGTGTTTGGCTCTAGGGAAGGGAAGGGAAGGGAAAGGAAGAGAAGGAAAGGGAAGGGAAGGGGGATTGGGTTGGGAGTATGCTCCTGTGACGGGTCTGCCGGGATCCGCACTGCGTCCGGCGAGGGGGGGGTCACTGGGGAATGGCGTAGTGAGCAGCGAAGCCTCCTCCGCTTTGCAAGGAGACGGGGGAAGCCCTGCGCAGCCGCCGGCGATGGGCCAGCTGGGGAAACCCAGCCTCCAGCCTGCAAGCGGGGGCGGAGGAGAGGGGGCAAGGCGTCCAGTGAGGGGGAGCTGGCAGGGAATGGTGCGGTGAGCAGCGAACCCTCCGCCGCTTGCAGGGAGGTGAGGGAAGCCCCGCACAGCTGCTGGCAACGGGCCGGCTGGGGAAATCGTGTTATTCCAGGGATGGTTGTGTAATTCAAAAAACATTCCCTAAAAAAAAATCGTGCTATCACAAAAACGTGTTAAGCAGGCACGTGTTAAATGAGGAATTACTGTACAGTGAAGAACCCTCCACGATGGGTTGTTCCCTCCACGGTGCTGACAATGTACAGCTCATGAAGGAATAGGAGAGGGAGAGTCAGGGTGCAATGCACTGCCCTCTAAGGCCTCCAAAGCAGCCTTAATTTTTATGATAGAAATGTAGCCGTGTTAGTCTGGGGTAGCCGAAGCAAAATGCAGGACAATGTAGCACTTTAAAGACTAACAAGATGGTTTATTAGATGACGAGCTTTCGTGGGCCAGACCCACTTCCTCAGATCAGGAAGTGGGTCTGGCCCACGAAAGCTCATCATCTAATAAACCATCTTGTTAGACTTTAAAGTGCTACATTGTCCTGCATTAATTTTTATGCTTTCCCATTTCAGATGCTGGGGGACATCTCCCTTCCAAGGAGTCCATAGACTTTGTCATCTCAGGAAAAAGAGCTATGTTTTCAGGGAACTGAAGGAGGGGGAAGTAGGCCCAAAAAAGGGCCAACCTCATGCAGGTTTTGCCTGGATCCAGGCATCCAAAGGTAGAAATGCTCTACCCACCAGAATGAATCGGGGAAAACTCTGCAAGGGGAACTTCATGGAGGCTTCCTTTCCCTGAGTTTTTTTTCTTGGATAGAAGTAAATGGGCCATTTATACTTGGAATGGCAGAAATTTTGTCATGCAGCAAAGAACAGAATATGACCAAGTTACATTGTATTAAGCTAATTGTTTTGCAATATTCTTATAACGTAGTTGCATAATCAGAATATGGTGGCACAGTCTTTAGCAGGTTCCTACATATTATTGCCCTGGGTAAACATGAGCAGTAGTTCAGTCTGTGTGCTTGCAATGGCTATAGAATTAACTTTGGCAACTCAGGAATTCTCTCTCAGAAAGACTAGTTATTCTTTCATTTTATGCATGAAATAGACTTAACACTGATGCATATGGCTGGTAAATGGAATTAATTATAACACTCACTCCATAACTTTTGTACTCCTTTAAGAAACAGCATGGAAACTGGAGAGGTCAGACTGGGGCTGGTAATGAAAACAGAACCCTTCAATGTGACTAACAGGTCATCCAGCCTACGTCTACTGTGAATACAAAGTTATTCATATAAGATACTGTTTGGTTGACAACGTGAAATGAGTTAGAGGTCTCAGTCCAGGGTCTGTTAGGAATGTGATAATGTCCACCAACTGGTGCCCTTGTTGGCAGTCTCTACAGAAAGACAGCTGGCTGCATGAATATAGACTCTGAACTAGCCTCTCATCTCTAGATAGGCAGCCTTTTTAGGTCAGGGTTAAAGGATATTGCCACTGCTTATAATGGGCCTGTTTTGCAGATAAAGAGAAGATTATATTCAGGCAATGTAATAATACACCTTTCAAAACCACTAAATCTTGAAAAGCTGACCTGTATTCTCAGAGAGTCTCGGGTGAAACTGATAACTGCATAGACAAAATACCATCAAAAAGACTAAGTGAACTGATTCAAAAAAGTTAAAACCAATGTTAACAAATATTTTTAGCTTTTTTGCAAGGCTAACTTAGCCTGGGCATATATTTCCTAGTTTTGTTCTGTTCTAAGGGTATGTATGTCTATACTTGCTCCCTATCTCGAGATAGGGATGCAAATGTAGTGTACCTAAATTGCTAGCGAAGCACGGGATTTAAATATCCTGACCTTAATTAGCATAATCGCGTCCGGCTGCCATTTTGAAATCACGTTATTGCGAAATAAAACGCCCCGTGTAGCAGCATTATTTCGAGAGAAAACCCTTCTCTCGAAATAACTGTTAAACCTCATTGTATGAGGAATAAAAGTTATTTCGAGAGAAGAGTTTCCTCTCGAAATAACGCAGCTACATGGGACGATTTTGGTTCGTAATAACGCGATTTCAAAATGGCGGTCGGACACAATTATGCTAATTAAGCATGGGATATTTTAAATCCTGCACTTGGTTAGCAATTTCGGTACACTCCATTTGCATCCCTATCTCGATATAAGGAGCAAGTGTAGACATACCCTAAGAGTTGAATTAGCAAAATTCTGTGAGAAAGACTAGGCAAAAACAAAGAAGTAGCAGAAATCCTGTGGTAAAATTTCCATCTCTTTTGTCAGACCAAAAGGAAGCAGATAAATATTTGAATATGAAAACCCTACCCAGTTTAGCCTACAAGTTTTATGAGAATAAGCATCAAAATAATTAACAGTGACTGGCCATTTACAGTAGAATGCTATCAGGAAAAAGTGATTCTCTCACGGTAGTAGCTATCAGGTGAAAGCACTATTTCTTGTCACTTTGCATAGTCAGTAATAAAACGTGTCTTCCTTACCTGCTATTGCTTCAATACTTGGAATTGCAATAGTGCTATAAGCACTAATACATTTGCAAGACCATGTGTGTGTTAGAGTTTCCTCTGCACTTTCCAATCCTGAGATTTTATCCGTAAAGAAAGAGTCCCATTGTTTAGACAGAGAATAAGGAGCTTTTGGGTGATGTACCTGAAATAAAATAAATACATAAATTAGAAACCCCAACACAAACCCAATCATTGTAATTAGCTAATACTGTATCCTCCTTCTCCATTTAGCCCACAAACATTATTTTAAGAAGTTCTGAAGCTATCCACTGATTTCTTAATAAAACTAATATTTCATAAAAGCAACATGACTGAAAAAGCAAACTGTGAAAAAACACCCTAAATCTTTCAGTTTTGCTCTTAAGTGGTCCACTATGACATAAAGTCTGCTTTAAACATTGTTTTCTTCAATGTGTTTTTCCTTCTTCCAAGGTATTAAGAATACTTCACTTCTCTCTCTTTGATGGAGGGTCAGAGACATCCTGGGTGCGACTAGACTAGCAAGATTTTGTGCAAAAGCAGTTGCTTTTGCGCAAAAACTTGCTAGCTGTCTACACTGGCCGCTTGAATTTGCGCAAGAGCACTGACTTTGTAATGTACAAAATCAGTGCTTCTTGCGCAAATACTTTCACGCTCCTGCTCAGGGATAAGCCCTCTTGCACAAGAATACTTGCGCAAGAGGGCCAGTGTAAACAGGCACCTTAATTTTTTGCGCAAGAAAGCCCGATGGCTAAAATGGCCATCGGAGCTTTCTTGCGCAAAAGCGCGTCTAGATTGGCACAGATGTTTTTGTGCAAAAGCAGTTTTTGCGCAAAAGCATCCTTGTCAATCTAGATGCTCTTTTGCGGAAATACTTTTAACGGAAAAACTTTTCCTTTAAAAGTATTTCTGCAAAATCATGCCAGTCTAGACGTAGCCCCTGATGCATAAGGCTGTTAGCTTAGCTACTGTTTTCTCTACCCTCACTTCAGGAGAGACTGTACGCTGAATATCCGAGTAACAATAGGGAATATTTCTTTGACTGAGATTCACTATCCTTCCCTCTCTTAGCTGAGAGGAAAAGAAGAGCTGAGGTTCATATTACTGCCTTTCAGAATATTACTATTCAGGTCCTCTAGCAAAAACTAGGGGACATCTATATCTCTATAGATATATATCATCTGCCTTAAAGACTTAACATGTATTAAAGAAAGACTTAAAATGTGATGGGCAAAGCATTTTTTTCTGATGTTATTGTGCTTTGCAATTCATCCTCAGAGGTGGTATACCTTATACAGAGCAGTCATAAAAAACTCCAGGAGGCTTCTGCAAAAAGATAAGCAAAATAGCAAACCACACTATAGAAAATCTGCAAAAGCCATTTGTGTGCAAAGTATAATTTCAGCACATCATAGCAGAGAACAGCCGACATGTCTCCATATGCTTCCAGATTTGTGAACTTCCGCACCTCATTTTCCACTCAACTGCTTCCTTACAAACTTTAGTACATGGTGGAATAACTGTTGATCACAATAGGGGTCATGTCAGATAGATTTATGTCCTGACCCCTGTTAATCTCCCATAGCCACTAATAACGGGAGAAAAGAAATTTGACAACACACCCTGAGACCACAACAGAAGACAAACTCAGGCTATATCTACACAGCAATTAGACACCCACAGATGGCCTGTGCCAGATGACATCTCAAACTTGTCCTTCAGTTGTATCCCTACAGAACAATACTAGGGTTACTCTGTGAGTATGCTTAAGAAACTCTCATTCTCATCCCAAAATCCTGATTACCAGAATCCCATATCTGACTAGGAAGAGACTCAGCCTGCCATTAAGGAAATCTCAGCATGTTACTGAAATCAAATCAAGATTCCCTCACTATGGATTCATATTGCACCATCCTGAAGTTTCTATTAGCCAGTAAACATGAAGCCTTTAAAAATTATTTGTGCTTGTGAAGAGTGCCTGAACTAGAGAGACCACCAATTGGAAGTGAGAGGAATTAAGTCTCTATGCTTCAGTTGAGACTTCCAACTAGTATCTTCATTAATACTAGACACAGTACAGGTTGGACCTCCCTGGTCTGGCATTCTCGGGACCTGACCGGTCCCAGACAAGGGAGGTCAAAGAGGGGGGATGCCAGCCTCCCCACTGGGTTCCTCTCCCGAGCCACCTGGGCTCCTCTCCCAAGCCTCCAAGTCCTGCTGGTCTCGCCACAGCCCTGCTGGCCTCGCGGCAGCTCCACCACCTCACCAGAGCTCCTGGAAGCCCCCTCCAGCCGAGGGCTCCACTGCTCTGCGAGCTTCAGCGCCCCCTCCAGCTTCCCTGCCCCACTGGCTATGGGCTCTGGTACCCTGCAGGCTCTGCTTTCCCACTGGCACTGCCAGTGGGCTCTGCTCCAAGCAAACTCTGCTGCTGGGTCTCTAGTCCTGCAACATCCATTGTCCCCTCACACCACGGATGTTGCCAGACCAGAGTGTCCCAGACCTCAGAGGGTCAACCTGTGTAGGGATGTTAGATATCATGTAACTGAATAGTGGTGTAAATGCATGGACTCTTAGTGGTTATTTGATAGTCCCCGGAGGGTGGGGCAGGCACCCAGCACACTCCCAGCCCCACTCCCAGGGAGTCCCCTGCTACCCAATGCTGCTGCCTCTCTATCAGAGGCAGTGGCAAGGGCTGGCAGGCAGAGCCGGTCTGCGAGGGGAGCCAGTTTAAAGACCAGCTCCCCATGCAGACTGGCTCCCGCCTCTTGCTTGATGCTGCTGCCTTTGATAAAGGGATGTTAAGGACTAGTCAACTAATGCTTATCAGATAGTCGACAAGATAGTTGACTAGTCGCTTCCCCTCCCTTCTTGCTGCCTCTATCAAAAAGAGGCAGTAAGGGAGGTGGAAAGAGGGGGCACTTCAAAGCGGGAGTGCCGTAGAGAGGCCAGGCTCGTGTGGCGCTAACCCCAGGATCAGCAGTGCGGTGCTGCCCCTTTGAAATGCTGCTGCGACTTTTCAAAGGGGCAGCGGTGCATGGAGCCCAGGATCAGCTGGAATCCCCAGCTGACCCCAGGGTCCATGGGGTGCTAAGCCTGGGAGTAGCTGTGTGGCACTGCCCCTTTGAAATGCCACCAAGGCTCCCCAGCTGATCTCGGGCTCCAAGTGGTGTTGCCCCTTTGAAATGCGGTAGTAGCGTTTCAAAAGGGCAGCACCGTCCTATCAACTAATCGAATAGTCGATGCAAAAATGCATTGACTATTCAATTAGTGAAATATGTGCTATTTAACATCCTTACTTTGATATAGAAGCAGCAGCATGAGGTGACAGCAGCCCCTGTTTACAGGGGTCTGAGCTCCCTGCAGACAGAGGCTATTTTGTGGGATGCAGACCAGGCTCTGTCCTCAGGGAGCTCAGACTCCCCAGAGACAGGGGCTGCTGCTCTGGGCCAGCCCCTGTCCACAGTGAGCTCGAGCTGCCATGTGCAGAGGCTGTTTCATGGCATTCTCCTCTGCTCCCCACAACTGTGCTCTGAGAGAGGCAGCAGTGCAAGGGTGAAGAAGCAGCACTGCAGAGCTGGTGCCAGGGAGAACTGGCTTTTAGGAGGCAGCGAGGTGGGTCCGCAGAGCTGGCACATATGAGAAGTCTGCTTGAAAGCCGGCTCCCTGTGCGTATCAGCTCCAGCCAGCTCTCCCCCTTGCCCTTTGTGCTGAGGGTGGAAGTGGGGGAAAGGAAGAACCACTGATACAGAGGCACCAGGGGAGTTCGAGGAGGGGGGAAGTGTGTGTAGTTGATAAGATTAACCAATAAGTCCTTGATTAACTACCAGGCTTATTAGATAATCAAGTAGTCAACTACATGTTGACATCCCCAACCTATAGTAATTTTATGATTTTTCATTTGGCTCAACAACCGGCTAAGTGGCAGTTCTGCAGAAAGGACCACAGGATTACAGTGAACCAGAAGTTGGATATGAGTCAATAGTGTGTCCTCATTGCCAAGAAGACTAATGGCAAACTGGGGCTGCATTAATAGGAGCATTGCCAGCAGAGCGAGAGATTATTCATTTCTATTTGGTATTAGTGAAGTCACATCTGGAGTATTGCCTCCAATTATGGGGCCCCCATGACAAAAAGGATGAGGACAAATTGAAGAGAGTCTAGTGGAGGGCAATGAAAATGATAAAGGGGCTGAAGTACATGATTTATGAGCAGAGGCTTAGGGAACTGGGTTATTTAGTCTGCAGAAGAGAAGGGGCAGAGGGATTTCATGGCACCCTTCAACTACCTGAAGTGTGTGTGTGGGGGGGAGGGGAGGGTGTTTCCAAAGAGGCTGGAGATAGCTTATTCTCAGAGGTGGCTGATGACAAAACAAGGAGCAATGGTTTCAAGTTGCAATGGGAGGGGTCTAGGCTGGATATTAGGAAAAACTGATTTACTAGGAGGGTGGTGAAGCACTGGAATGAGTTACCTAGGAAAGGGGTAGAATCTCCATCCCTTGAGGTTTTTAAGGCCCAGCTCGATAAAGCCCTGGCTGGGATGACTTAGTTACAGTTGGCCATGCTTTGAGCTGGGGGCTGGACTAGATGATCTCCTGAGGTCTCTTTCAACCCTAATCTTCTATGAGTTTATGACAACTTTTGAACTGAAAACTGTTTTAGTTTATTTTCTTCAGGTGTTTTTATGGCCATGTTTCTATTCTGTATACGAGGGTTGTCATCAGTATTGCATTGAAAACACAGGCATACTGACAACCAAACAGATGACTTTGAAGATGTTGACATGTCTCTTACATATACATGATCTGGTGCGTCACCCTCCTGATGTCACCTAATTACACAGACAGGTAAAACGATTCCCCCATTCAATATTATTGCCATGTACAGGTTCATCAGCAGATCATTCGTTTTTGTTTTATAAGAATCAGCCACAACTTTTATTTTATGACCACTGATCATAACTTCCACAGAGATTGTCAGGAGATCAGGTTGTAGGCGATCATGCCAACTGGTTGGAGGACTCCAGCCTCGTGGTCAGAGTCCAAAGCCCAGATTCTAAACTCAAAGCAGAATCAGAACTGGGGATCAGAGGTGAAGGTCAGAACCCAAATTAGACTGAATGCCAGAGATAAGTGTTGAGATGAAACACACGAATCATCTGGAGTCAGGAAAGGAAGGAGCAGGATTGGGAGAGGATAGAAATAAGGCTGGATGCAGGTTAAAGTCTGGGGTGGAGCTGAGGAGAAAAGCAGGAACAGGCTTTCAGTGAGAAGAGCACAGGGAGCTAGAGTCCACATTCATTTTAATTGACTAGCTAGAGACCTGTTGCTGCTCCTGGGCTTAAGAACCACCCTGCTGGCTTCCTCAGCCAATGAGGCAGCCTAGCTGACTGGTTAGGTTATCAGGCACAGCTGCAGGACTCTAATTTCTCTCAGCTCTTCCAGCATTAGCTATAGTTGATCAGTAATCTCTCCAAGTAAGGGAATATCATCTGCATACTTGAGATCATCTAACGATGAATCTTTAACTTGGCCACCGAATGTTTTGACTTCAATCAGCTTTGTAGTCAGATAGTCTCTTAAATCAGGAAACAAATATGGTAAGTAAACACATCCCGGGTGTGCCTCTGATTCTACGAAAACAAGTCTGTAATACAAATGCAATACAGTTCCTCCACTGGGGTCAGTCAGTCCTGAGGCATCCCAGACTGGGGCAGCAATATCCAGAGCACGGTTTAATGCACTGATTCAGAAGTGGCTATCTACTATATATTTTAGAGTCTGTCTGTCTAGCTAATCAAGAACTCCTAAACAGTAAAAGCTAGGACCACCAAGTTTGGTGTACAGCTTCCTCTTATAATGACTTAAAGCAAGGTCAGAGTTTGGCTGTTCTGGGAGAATGGAATGTGCCTGGAAGGGGATTTCTTCTCATAAAACCAAACAGAAACAAGATAGAATCACCAAAGCAAGTACAGTCCTCAAAACTGACATAAGTGAACAAATGTTGGAAAAAAGGAACCAAGATGAATCACAAAAGTAGGATGAATCTAGAATAGGATTGCTTCTCAATAAACGTTACACTTTAGTCATTTGAGACCAGAAAAAGAGAGGCCAAGGAATAAGTTTTTGTTCTCATTCTTTAATGAGGTAGATTTGTAAATTCCTTTTATTAACTTCCTCATCCCTTAAAGAAGCCATAACAACCTTAACTCAAAATCTCTGATTTAGAACAGTGGTTTTCTCTCAACTTTACATACTTCATGTAAACACCTAAAAATTGGGGAAAGACATCACATTTCTTTAAATTGGATGTAAGAACATTTTCCTTTTGTAAAGATTATTAGCCATTAGCCACAGGTTATACACTTGCTATTATGTGTTTATACAGAACATAGAACACTTTAGATACTACCCCAAAGCTAATTATTATTATTACTACTACTACTAATAATTATAAATACCATGTATCTGAACACAATTTTCACACACACAGAATCTATATGAAAGCTTTGAATCAGCTTTTCTAACCCATTTCACAGGTCATTAGAAGAGGTGATTAGGACAATTTAAAAAATATCTTTGTAGGAGTCGGGAGGGGAAGGGGGGAATTGTTTTGAGCTAGTCCTGTTAAGTTAGTGCTGTGCAGTCAGTTGCAGATATATGGATGTGATTTGTTGTTCAGACCCCTGTGAACAGCATGGCAATAAAATAACACCACTGACCTTCTGTGGACCCCCTCAGTTCAGATTCCTTTAATCAAAACAATTCATTTTGCCTTTGCTTACTTGCTGTCACTGGCAGTGGATGTAAGTTGAACATAGGTTCAGTGTAGGAGAGGGATTAGATTCAGACACTGCATAATTTCATTCTATTATCCCAGATACTACACCATTAGCAAAACATCAAATTATTTCCTAAAAGTCTCAAGCTGCATCTAAACTGCAGGGTTTTTGCACAAAACTATCTGTGGAGAGTCCACACCTCAAGCGCATTTTTTAGCAAGAAAATTTACAGTAAAATGGCAGAACAGAGGGCTTTTTACGGTGTAGGTATACATCTTTCTACAAGGAATAACTCCTTTTTGCACAAGAGTTCTTGCACAAAAAGGTGTGTATGGACGCTCAACAGGCGTTTCTTGTGCAAAAAGAGCCTATCAGAAAAAGCACAGGTGCTCTGATGGCCATTTTGTGAATGGCAATCAGAACTGTCTTGCGCAAGAGTGTCCATGCAGTATGGATGCTTTCTTGCACAAAAGCACATCGCTTTTGCGATGTGCTTTTGTAGTGTGGACGTACTTTTGCGCAAGTTTTTGCAGAAGATCTCTTCCGCAAAAAGCTTCTTGTGCAAAAACCCTGCAGTGTAGACAAAGCCTCAGTTTCTTACTTCATAACTGCAACTACACAGAAAGTGCTTCTGAAGAATAAAACAGATGTTAGGTCAGATGCCTTTTACCCAGTGCAACTAAATAAAATGCTAGGAAATCTGTTTGACTACCAAGACATTTTTCTATGCTATGGCTCCTAGAAACTTACAAAAAGAAATACTTTGAAGAAGTGTTGGCTTTTTATTTCATGAAGTATATGTACAATCTCTGATTCATCAACTACATATTTAACATACTTGAGGAGACTTGATTGTATCACTAATAAGTAATGTAGGTTTCTTCTGATATACTTAATGCAGGTGTCCATAAAATTATTTCTGACTTTTTGTTTGGTTGACTCAAGGAAACAACTGTGAGGAACCCTTACCTCATATTTTCCTTTCTTTTCCAAGGGCTCAGGCTCATTCTCCACAGGCATCGTAACTTTGTCCTCTCTCAGCTCCTCTAAGATGAAGACAGTCTCCCAGTTGCTATAGTGATGGGCTGGAAAAATATCTGAGCGCATGCTGTCACCAAAATACACAACCTAAAAAGTGAAGCAGCAATTCAGAAGTGCTATATATGGCGAGGAAAACATAAGCAACTGTGTTTCAGAGATAGAGCTTCAAAAACCACCAAATACAATTTGCTCCAGGTTTATCTGGCCACAACAAAAAGACATTTTATTTAAATCATGGAGAATACTGCTAGGGCATTTTGGCTGATGAAATTAGCATATTAGACATCAGTGAAGTAAAACTAACAAGCAGATAAAACAGAATTTAAAAAATGTAACTCATTTGGGAAAGGTTTGAAACAAAGGAAAACACTGATCATCTCATTACTTCTAAACAGAACTTTCTGTCATGTTGTACTAAGGGGTACATCTAAACTACACCCCTCTGTTGGCACAGGGATTTAAATTAGACGTATCGAAAGTGCAAATGAAGCCGGGATTTAAATATCCCGTGCTTCATTTGCATAATGGCGGCCGCCGTTTTTTTTTTTTAAACGGGGCTTTTTGAAAAAAAATGGCAGTTTAGACGGGGCATTTTCGACAGATCATGGTACACAATATATTTCTGATCAATATATATCTCATCAAATAATGAGGATCTTTTGAAATGGGGCATTTGTGTTGAAAATGCCCCATCTAAACTGCTGGTTTTTTTAAAAGCCTTGTTTCGAAAAAAAGCAGCGGCCGCTATTATGCAAATGACGTGCGGGATATTTAAATTCCAGCTTCATTTGCACTTTCAATACAACTAATTTACATCCCTCTGCCGACAGAGGTGTGTGGTTTAGACATACCCTATATGTATAGCTTGCATACCGGAGAAATCAGGCCCAGCTGAAAATGGCAAAACTCCCATTGACTTCAAAGGCCATGATGTCACCCACTGAATAGGGTGAGCCAAGGCTCCAAGTTTTTATTTAATCTACCTTTTTCATCTTTTTTATCTCTATATCTAAAGAGAAAGATTACACAGGTTTTATTATGTATGTGTGCACACCAAATATATATACATATGCATGTGTATGACCAGATGTACCATGAAGAAAAAATATTTTTGTTACATTTATTTTTCCTTTTTGAGAAGGAAAGTAAATATCTATAATTTCTGGAAACCAAATGCAGTTAGTCAACTTCTCCCTTCCTGTTATGTATTAATAAATATGGGAACCACTATTTTAGCTCCCAAAGATAGCTGTGTGTGGATTTGCCAGCACATTGCTATCTTTTAGACTGCTAGCTCCCCAGGAAATAACTGTATTATTATGTATTGTACAAAAGTCCATCGTCACTGCTAAACAGATAACTATGCAGACAGCAATAGCATTAGGAGGGCATTCGTGTAAATTGACGAATAGGACCCATCTTTAGTAACTATTGAGCATTTTCTTCAAATGTTTGCTACTAGGCAGAGAACAAAGCACTATAAGTAATCCCCATGGAAATTCAAAGGGACTACTCAGGACTACATTCAATAATAAGACATTTAATTCATGCTTATTTGGTGATAAATAGATCAATAGTGGTAGATAGATCTACTACAATAACTTGCCCCTCTCTTGCTGAATACCTTGGGTTCTGTCTTGTTCGTCATCTTCTTCAGCAGTTCATAGAGATGAGTAGCATTACCTTGGGAATACCAGCCAGGCTTGTCCAGGGATGGCAGAGCCTCCTGTTCCTCATCATTCTCTGAAGTCATAAAACAAGATTTCCCACTGTTAGTGAGAGCAATAAGACGACTAACTTACTCTTCTGATGCTGGTTGAAAGATGCATGAGAAGATGCATCTGTTTACACACAGGAATTCTAATTTGGCACTAAGAAGATGACATGTCCAGCAGAAGGCTCAAGTTAAGGTACTAATCAGAAGTTTCAGACTAGGTCAAGCTATAGCATAGGACCTGACGAAGGCTTGGAGCACATGGCTCACAGTCACTGCTGCGCATGGTGGTCCCAAGAAATACTCAAAGAGGTATTTGAAATGTAAAAGTCTAAAACAGCAACTGTCTTGATTTTCACTCAGATACTTAATGTTACCCATAATCTGTAATGCCTGATGTTAAATTCAATTATCCACGAAGGTCCTGAAGCCCAGAGAACAATCTCTAACCTCTTTTCCTATCAAAATAGGGATTGCAAATATATGGCCATACTCTCTTTCAGGGAGGCTATGTCTACACTATGTATACAGATCTTGTGCAAAAGGGAGTTTTTGCGCAAAAATGGATCCGTCTATACGGTTTGTTTCTGCACAAAAACCTCTTGAGCAAAAAGCCTCAGGCAGAGAATATGCTAATGACAGTGCATCAAATGCTAATGAGCACTTCATTAGTATACTCTCTGCCGGCAATAGCCGGCAGTGTAGACATAGCCGGAGAGTAGTTTGTATCTGACATGTTCATGCAGACCTGTTCCATGACTATTGTTTTCCTCCTCCTTCTGCTTTAGCTCCACCAGCTCCTAGAATGATACCCAAATTTTAGGGTAACAATGAGGCCCATCCAAATATGCCACAAGACGCTTCAACCAAAAGCTGCAGTGAAGGAGATAGAAAGTCACACACACAATATTGAGGATGTCAACAGTAATCCTAAACCAGTTCCTACAGCATACCAGAGAAAAATAACCAATAAACAGCAACACATATCTACAAACAGAATGAACTGAAAGCACTTAACACTGACTCTACTATACACCAAGGTCAACCTGATGTGTAGGAAAAAATGCCTTCATGAGCTCAAATAAAGTGATAAACTTGTGCATGCAGGTGAGGATCATTAGTTTCATAGCTAAAATCTGCACTAATGCCTGATATCCTAGTATCATCAAGCTTAAGGGAGAGAGTGTGTAGAAACAAATTGCTGCTTATGAAATAGGCGGTTTGTGATTCCTATCCAGGCAGGCATCTATGCACCTTGAATTCATAGTATGCAGCCAACTAGGAGTCTTAGTAAAGTCACCATCGCCTCACTGGTCTGACTGTAAGCCCAGCTTCTAGCCATGCTGGACAACTGCCCTGGTATCTGTACAGGTAAACTTTGTGTAAATCCCTATTTGGTAGCACGCCATTACCAACAGCACCTGTCTGCTTCTTGTTGGAGTCAACGTGCTGATCTCCTCAAAACAGTAAATGGGAATCTTATCAGAATGTGAATTTGTGTAATACAATGCACATGCACTAGGTACTGAAGTGATTAAACAATGGGGTTATTTTGTTATTACAATACAATATTTTTAAACTGGGGGGAGGGGAGGAGAAGAAAGCAAGCAAGCAAGCCAACACAGTTTTTTGCTACTGTTCAAGAATGACAATGTATTTTAGAGAGGGAGAAAGAGAAGGCTAGAGCAGAGAGCAAACATTGCAGAATTATAGCATGCAGCTATGCTTTCAGTGACAGAATGAAGTGAAACTTCAGGGACAGAATAGAATAAGAGGAAGAAACTTGTTTAAAAGAACAGTGAAGGACAAAAAAAGAGAGGAGGTAATGGGGAGAAGAAAAACATGAGGAGAAGCTGAAAATCTTTTTTCAAATGTTATGGGTCGGGAAATCTGACTAATCATAGGATTATTCCCAGACAAAGCCTTTCTTTATTAGGGATGTCCTAGAAACTGGAATAAGCAAGGAAATCCAAAATTAAGAATATCTTCTGCCTCTAAATCATGTGGAAACATTGTTTCCATCTCATTCGCTCTATAAAACCAAGGGAATATAATGACATATATTAAAGGTGGGATGCATCATTTCCTAGCTTTCGATCGTTAGGCTCAACCTTAATGTTGTTAAAACAATTTGTCTGCATTTCCTCATTTGGTTGTAGCTATTTTAAAACTATATTTATATATCCTCCCCCCTTTCATCCTGCCCTGACTTCACACTTCCCTAGAAGATTTTAAACACTTTTAAAATTAGACGCACAATCTCGTTGTCTGGCTTATGGAAATTTGGGGGGCGGGAGGGTTTCCCTGCATTTTTAGACACATTTGCATGAATGGTTGAGTGAGTAGCCACATATTTCAAACACCTAACTATCCAAAGATAGCAGGAGTTATAGATTTTTCTCCAAAAGAATTTCTCAGACTGACAGGAATAAAATGCTTATTAATGAAAACTACTCATAAAATATGCTGCAATTAATATTAATATTAATGCTGCAATTGAGATTAATATTTTGTTAAATGGACAGTATTTCGAATGGCAAAATAATGAACAATTTCATTTTCTTCCAAATACTCTAAATATCCAAACTGCAATTGATTATGTTTTCTCCGAGATGTATGTACTCTGATGCTGTTTCAATCAGAAGGACAGTAGGAATAAGAGATCTGTACCTGAATTTCTTAAACAGATTCATTAGACAAATACCTTTTACAGTGGGGTTGTGTTCCTTTAATAGTTTCAGTTTGATGGTGTTTGAGAATGTTGGCCATTTTCTGGTGGCTTAAAAATGAAATATTCTAGATTTTTGTTATTATAATTCTTTCCTTTGTATCTTATGAAAGTGCAGTAGCTAACCCATACCAAGATGAGTAAAAAGAAAAATTCAGTTAGCTGCTACTAACACCTGGGAGTTCACCCAAAGGTCAGAAATGCTATAAATATTACCTCAGGAGGAAGCAAGATGTATAAAGCCTGGGATGCTAAGGCTGCATTCTTACAACTTGAAGGGGTGAAGCTATGATAGTTCAAACAGCAAGATACACTTAAAAAAATTCTCAGGTAATTTAGACCGAACAACTCACTTCTGTTTGAAGTCTTTAATATATCACTGCTATCTGCATTCCTAGCTCCATATTACAATACATGCTGTGACAAGTAGTGTAAAGGTCTAGCAAAATAACTAGAGAAGAGGAAACAATGTTTCTAAACTCTAACTCATCTTAAGGTAAGATTACTCCAAGTATGCATTTTGCGTAGCTGCAGTTGTGTACCTTAAGCCTTCCTTCCAGGTTCAGTGTAGATCTGCCCTCAGTCCACTAACAGCTTAGCCCTGCCATATTATCTGTGGGCAGAAGAACCCACATTTCACTTTAGCTGGGTTGTGAGCAGCTGTAAGGATCCACCCATGTGGATCTCTAAGGTGCTACAGGACCATTGTTGTTTTTAAAATTTTGTTAGTTACAGATTAACATGGCTACCTCTCTGAGACTTTCAAAATGGTTATAGTATTACATTCACAACACAACTTTCAATGGCTTTTTAGTCTCAGATATAACTAGAACTAGTACCTATATACATTTTTATATTACCAGATTATTTAATTTACAAAGTACAGCAATGAAGGGAGAACATTAAATCCTTTCTTTTACGAAATTGCAAATATTCCATGGAGTTGCTTCATAGTATCCTACTACAGTTTTCACTTTGTCTATACAGGGCTTTATAGTGTGGCTACTTTACAAAGATACAAGGAATTTAGCGTCTACACTATAGATACAGGCACACATACATTGTCTCATAGATACCGCAAGAGGAAAGTCCAAATCCTGCTTTCACATTAACAAGTACAACTCTCACTGAATTCAGTGTGCTGTGTGCAAGTATCTAAAGTCAATTTGGCTCAATGACTTTAAAGACTTACCAGAAATTATTTCTGATGCAGTAATATTTATAGTATAGATTCTTTAACTATGTAAAGAAATTTCAATGAGGTTCAAGAATAAGGCTCCCTTGGGTCATTAATGGTGCAGGCCAGTGTTTTTCAATTTCAGGCCTGTGGACCCATGTCGTCCACAGACTATGTCCATGAGGGTCTGTAAAAGGTCATTGTTGCCATAGAACAGTGATTTTTCAACTGTGATCTGTGGACAACATGGGGGTCCACAGAGTACATCTAAGATTTCCAAAGGGGTCTGACCTACATTTCAAATTTTTAGAGGTTAACAACAACTCTCTGACTATGGTTATCCAGCCAATTATGCACCCATCTTATTGTGGCCCTATCTAAGTTATATTTGCCTAGTTTATCAATAAGAATATCATGCGAGACCGTATCAAATGCCTTACTAAAGTCTAGGTATATGACATCCACCGCTTCTCCCTTATCCACAAGGCTCGTTATCTTTTCAAAGAAAGCTATCAGATTAGTTTGGCATGACTTGTTCTTCACAAACCCATGCTGGCTATTCCCTATCACTTTATTACTTTCCAAGTGTTTGCATACGATTTCCTTAATTACCTGCCTCAAAGATCATTAGAGAAATATCATTTCAGTGGAAATTTCCTAGAGGAAAGGCACTTTTTTTCCCCTAAAGAAAAACATGACTAACTGGAATAGCAGTGAAGATTGCAGTGAATTGTAATAACTGGGGAAGTTCATTCTGTTTCACTTAAAACAGGCACTAGTGTATTTCAGATAAATTCACTCACAACATCAGTATTATTATTTTTCACAACAGACATCTACACCATCTCTAGCTTGCCTTGAAATTTGAGTTGCAGATCTATGACACTGCATGATGAACCTCTGACATTATTTCCTCAGTTAAAAACAAAGAGGACTCAGCACAACTTTTTCTTTCTCTAACCTAAGTGACTGTTATTGTTGATTGACTTCAGTAAAATACTGTCTTATGCTCTTTAGAAAAAGTATTACACCTTCCTGGCTATCAGTTTACTGGTCATGAGTAAAGACTTGAAGTATGTCTACATTGCAAATAAAAGGTCTGTTCTTAACTAAGATCAGCTAAC